TACCTATAAAAAGTCACAGGCTAATAGAATGGATATGAAATATAATCTATCCTTCTGCTGCATACAAGTAAAACACCTCAACTTCAAAGACAGACATTGCCTCAGAGTAAAGGGTAGGGAAAAGATTTTCTGATCAAATGGACATAAGAAACAAGCTAGTGTAGCTATCTTAATATCTAACAAAATAGACTTTAAACTAAAATAATCAAAAGAGATAGAGAAGAACATTTCATATTTATTACAGAAAAAAATCCATCATGGTGAAGTCTCAACTCTGAAAATCTGTGTCCCAAATACCAAGGCACACACATTTGTAAAAGAAATATTACTAAAGCTTAAATCAAACACCAAATCCCACACACTAATAGTGGGAGACTTCAGGACTTCAATGGACAGGACTGCCAGACAGAAACTTAACAGAGAAATAAAAAAACTAACAGAAGTTATGACTCAAATGGGTTTCACAGACATCTATAGAACATTCCACCCAAACACACACACAGAAAATATCTTCTTATCAGTACCTCATGAAATTTTCTCAAAAACTGACCACATATTAAGTAAAAAAAAACAAATCCCCATAGATGCAAAAAAAATTGGAATAACCCCCTTTATCTTATCAGATCACCATGGCTTAAAGTTAGCATTCAACAACACTAATTGCTGAAAGCCAACAAACTCATGAAATTGAACAATGCTTAGCTGAATTACCCCTGGGTCAAGCAAGAAATAAAGAAATTAAGGAGTTCCTACAATTCAATGAAAATGCATGTACAACATACCCAAACTTATAAGACACATTGAAAACAGTGCTAAGAGGAAGGTTCATAGCACCAAGTGCCTGCATAAAGAACCTGGAGAAATCTCACACTAGTGATTTAGCAACACACCTGAAAATTGTAGAACAAAAAGAAGCAAACTCACCCAGGAGGAGTAGACACCAGAAAATAATCAAATTGGGGGCTGAAATCAATAAAATAGAATCAAAGAAAATAATACAAGGAATCAATGAGACCAAAAGAAAATGGTTCTTTGGGGAAATCAACAAGATAGATAAACTCTTATCCAAATTAACCAAAAGTGGGAGAGAAAATGTGGAAATTAACAAAACCAGAAATGAAAAGGGGAACATAAAAACAGGTACAGAGGAAATCCAGAAAATCATCAGGTTATACTTCAAAAATCTGTACTCCACAAAATTGGAAAATTTTAAAGAAATGAACAATTTTCTAGACAGGTACCACACAGCAAAATTAAATCAAGAACAGATAAACAATTTAAATAAATCAATAAACCGTAAAGAAATAGAAGCAGTCATCAAAAGTCTCCCAACCAAAAAAAAGTCCAGGGCCAGATGACTCAGCACAGAATTCTACCAGAATTTCAAAGAGCTAATACCAATACTCCTCAAATTGTTCCAAACAATAGAAACAGTAAGGACTGCCAAACTCTTTTTACAAGGCAAAAGTAGCCCTGGTACCTAAACCACACAGAAATGCAGCTAAGAAAAATAATTACAGACTCGTCTCCCTCATGAACTTAGATACAAAAATACTCAATTAAATACTGGCAAACTGAGTCCAAGAACACATCAAAAAAAAAAAATCATGATCAAGTCAGCTTCCTCCCAGAGATGTAGGGATGGTTCAAATACAAAAATCCATCAACGTAATCCAGCATATAAACAAACTGCAAGAAAAGACCCACATGATGATCTCATTAGATGCTGAAAAAGCCTTTGACAAAGGCCAACACCCCTTCATGATAAAGGTCTTGGAGAGAGCAGGGATACAAGGAACATACCTAGACATAATAGAGGCAATATACAGCAAGCTAACATTCAACATCAAACAAAATGGAGAGAAACTCAAAGTGATTCCACTAAAATCTGGGACAAGATAAGGCTGTCTACTCTCTCCATATCTATTCAATATAGTACTCAAAGTTCTAGCTAGAGCAATACAACAACAAAAGGAGATCAAGGGGATAAAAATTGAAGAGAGAGAGTCAAAATATCACTATTTCCAGATGATATGATAATATACATAAGTGACTCCAATAATTCTACCAGGGAACTCCTACAGCTGATAAACACTTTCAGTAATGTGGTAGGATTCAAGATTAACTAAAAATAAAAATAAACGGGCTGAGAAAAAAATCAGGGAAACATCACCCTTTACAATAGTTTCAAATAATATAAAATATCTTGAGGTAACTAATCAAAAAGTGAGAGACCTATATGAAAATAACTTTGAGTGTTTGAAGAAAAATAATGAAGAAAATATTAAAAAATGGAAAGATCTTTGTTGGAGGGAGGTAGATTGTTGGTTCCCAGCCACCTAGCTAGCTTAGACGCAAAATAATTGAGCCAAGTAGTGATTTAAATAATATACTTTCTATGTGATTATTTCAGTTCTGGGCGGCCGGGATGAACAAGCAGCTCCCTACACCAGATCTCCCATGCTCTTATATAGATAGGATCAACATCATAAAAATAGCAATCCTACTAAACGCAATCTACAGATTAAATGCAATCCCCATCAAAATCCCAGCACAATCCATCACAGACTGTAAGTGGAGAATGCTCTTTTGTTCCCGGCCACCCAGATCCAAATAATCACATAGAAACTATATTAATTACAACATTAATTAATTAATTGCTTAGCCTATTAGCTCAGGCTTCTCATTAACTAACTCTTACATCTTAAATTAACCCATTTCTATTAATCTGTGTATCACCACAAGGCTGTAATTTACTGGTAAGATTCCAGCATTCCAGCGTCTTATTCCTTTGGCAGCTACATGGTATGTCTCTGGCTCTACCTACTCTCTCTATCTATCTCTGTTCTGATTTCCTTCCCAGCTTTACTCTGCTAGGCCATTAGCCCACACAGTTTTATTCATCAACCAGTAAAAGCAACACATATACAGAAGGGCATCCCACATCAACAGACCTCAAAAATAACAATATTCAACTTCAATTGGAAAAAAAAAAAAAACAGGATAGCTAAAGCAATCCTGTACAATAAATTAAATACTGGAAGCATCACCATCCCCGACTTCAAACTACTAAAGAGAGATCATAATAAAACAGCATGGTATTAGCATAAGAACAGACACGTGAACCAAAATCACATCTTCATAGGAGTGTGGATTAATGCTAGGGTCTATAATTTGACCCTAGCATTAATCCACACTCCTATGAAGACATAATTTTTGACAAGACAGAACTGTACAATGGAAAAAAGAATGCATCTTCAACAAATAGTGCTGGCATAAGTGGATGTCAACATGTAGATCATAGCAAATAGATCCTTATCTATCACCATACACAAGACTCAAATACAAGTGAATCAAAGGCCTCAACATAAATCCAGGTACACTGAATCTCATAGAAGAGAAAGTTGGAAGTACACTTGAACACTTTAATGCAAGAGACTTCTTTCTAAATATAACATCAATAGCATAAACACTGAGAGAAACGATCAATAAATGGGACCTCCTGAAACTGAAAAACTATAAAGGGCAAAGGGCACAGTCAACAAGACAAAACAACTGCCTACAAAATGGGAATAGATCTTCACCAACCCCACAACAAACAGAGGGCTAATCTCTCAAATATATGAAGATCTCAAGAAACTGGACATCAAAATATCAAATAATCCTATTTTAAAATGGGGTACAGATTTAAACAGAATGTTCTCAACAGAAGAATCTCAAATGACTGAAAGACATTTAAGGAATTGCTCAACACTCTTAGTCATCAGAGAAATGCAAATCAAAATGACTCTGAGATACCATCTTACACCTGTCAGAATGACTAACATAAGAAACACTGATGACAGCTTATATTGGAAACGATATGGAATAAGGGGAACACTCCTCCACTAGTGGAAATACAAACTTGTACAGCCACTTCGAAAATCAGTATGGCAATTTATCAGAAAATAGGAAATCAATCTACTCCAAGACTGAGAATTACCACTCTTGGTCATTTACCCAAAGGATGCTCAACCTTACCACAAGGACACCTGCTCAACTATGTTCATAGCAGCATTATCTATAATAGCCAGAACCTGGAAACAACGTAGATGGCCCCCAAACCAACAATGGATTAAGGAAATGTGATACATTCACACAATAAAGTATTACTCAGTTGTTAAAAAAAAAAAGGATGACATCATGAAATTTTCAGTTAAGTGGATGGAACTAGAAAAAAATCATCCTGAGTGAGGTAACACAGACTCAGAAAGACAATATGATATGTACTAACTCATAAGTGGATTCTAAATGTAAAGCAAAGGATAACCAGTCTACATTCCACAGATCCAGAGAAGTTAGGTAACAAGAAGGACCCTAAGAATGACATACATGGATCACCCTAGGAAGGGAAAATAGATGAGATCTCCTGGATCAACTTGGGGCAGGGGATGGTAGAGGAGAGGGGATGGTGGTGAGAACATGAGGAAATGGGATGGTCAGTTTTGGGGAGGGACTAAGTGTGAGAGCAATGGAAGAGATATCTTGACATAGGGACCCATTATGGGGTTAGGGAGAAAACTGGTGCTAAGAAAATACCCAGGAATCCTCATAGGGACTCAGAGAAACTGAACTGACAACCAGAGATCCTGCATCAAACCGACCTAGGTCCTCTGCATATATGTTACAGTTGTATGTTTTGGTCTTCTTGTGGGACTCCTAACACTAGGAGCAGAGGCTTTCTCTGACCCTTTAACTGGCTTCTGGGGCCATACTCCCCATACTAGGTCTATTTTCCAGCCTTAATACATAGAGAGATGCTTAGTCTTACTACAACTTGATATGATATGATTTATTGATATCTCTCAAGGTCCTGCCCAACTTGTTCACCAGTACTTGGAGGAAGGGGGAGGATTAAAAAGAAATAGACAAGAGACAACAGATAGAATCAGGAAGATATCCAGTAAATAATATGGTTTGCCTCAAGTTTATTATTCAAAGTTCTTATATGCCCCAATCCAAAAAGGCGAAAGGCGAAAGGCAAAAGACTTCCTTGCCATGATATAATGAACGGACAAAGTAATTTCTTCCACACATCTCCAAACATCAAGTAACCACACCCTAGATCAAAATATCTTTTTTCTAGGCAGAACATCTGTAACCACACCTTAGGTCAAGCATCCTGTCATATAACCTTGAAGGAACAAGAATATGTCTGAACTCTCTAACTTTCAAGTCAAGATGGAATGGATTCATGCTGTGGGCTCTGATAGTTCCCCCTTTTAATTTAATTATTAATGCTTGTGCTTCTGCCACAGCACAAACAACTGTGCCTGTCTTAAGCTGTCTTCTTCAACCTTCCAGACTTACCCATCACTAGTACACATATTCTGTCATGCATGTCTTGTCTTAGAACTGACTGAAGGAAAAAAGATCTTACCCATCTTTACTACCAGTATCTGTTTATAAAGGGTTGAGGAAGAGTGCACAGCTTGATGCCACATATATCTGATCCAACTTTCCAATGAGAATTCACAAGTAACTGGATAATCATAGGCAAGTAGATAATGCTTAGCAATACACATGCTCTATGACTACAATACATCCTAATAAAGGAGTAAAGGGTGTCTAAGATAGAAGGACCTATTTTTAAATTGGTCCAGGAGATCTTTAGCAGTTTTAACTTCATCAAAATCCATATTTGTCTTATTAAACGTGTCAAATCCAAGAACTCATTATCATCATGGCAAATCCCTCACACATGAGCCTTTTCTTCAACAAGTAACATTTTCATAGTGAACAGAAATGGTTACAAACACTTAACAGGTCAATACCATCATTCTAGTATGAACATTATCAATGAAGACACCATTGGTCAAATTGCAATTCTCACCATTTTGTTCTAATCAAAGGGAAAGTTCTTGTGGTGGGTGAGGTATGAGTACTTTCCACTCTTAAAGTCCAACTGCATTACTGCTACCAATTCCAAAGGCATGTTTAAGCTGCTATAGTCTCCAAATACTGAATATTATCAGTAAAACCATTATTCCATTCCTCCTCTTATGCTGGAGAGGGGCTTTAGTCTTTTGTTGCTTCAATAAGTAAGTTTCTTTCCCACAGAAGGGAAGTTTCTGAGGTCTCAGTTCTCCAGGCTCTCTATTCCAACAGCAGATGAAACACCACATTGGCAAAGTTAACATCTGTGTCCCAAGCTATATTGTAGATACAGTGTTCCTTGACCAAAATCAGAGTAATGAAACTCATAGCTGTCTAGGTGGTCCATGTAGCAGTTTCTCTAAGAAAATGGGAGTCATTGACTGTTGTTGTAATCTCCTTTCTTTCTCAGACTGCAGCATGATGATGTCAGAGGATCAGGAACATGGGTTCAGCAATCTCACTCCAACTCTTCTGGGTGAGCACCAGTAGTCACAATATCATCCAAGTTGGTATTCCTCTGGTCCACATACCATACCAAATGTTCAGGGAGTTATCAGGCTTCATTTACTTCCTGTGGAAAAAAAAACACAAACATACCCTTGACTGCATATTAAAACAGGGTCAGGTCCTTTCCATAATCCAGTGCAACAGTCTTTCCATTTTACTTTCACAAAAGTCGCTCTGGTGCCATCATGTCAAAATCTGCCTACAACAGATTGATCATGGGCATCCACATTTCAGAAATTTAGAGTAAAAGGGCATGATTCAATGAATAATGCGGTGACTGGGAGTATAACTCCCCCTTACTTATTTTTTGAAGTTGTGTTTTCAAGTCATGGGCACACTCTACAATTTCCTGTCCTTGAGGATTATAAGAAAAGTCTGTTTTATACTCAATATTCCATTTGGAGAAAAATTGCTGAAATGCTTTACTGAATTATCTGGATCCATTATCTGTTTTTATAATTTTAGGAATTACCGTATATTAAATGAGTTATTTATATATTTATAGCAATGAGTTATCACATACATAGTAGCTTCTCCAGTTTGTGCAGTAGTCATTAAGAACCCTGAATATGTATCAACTGTCACATGCACATATCTTAATTCATCAAATTCTGCAACATGAGTAGCATACATTTACCATAAATGAGTAAGAAGAAGACCTTGAGGATTTACTCCCAGATGTGGTACAGGTAAATATTGTGGGTTTATATCACACTGTTTAACAATCTGATGAGCAATTTCTCTTGTTAGACCAAATTGTTTTCTTAAACTTTTACTACTTTGATGGTATAAAAATCATGTGATTGTTGAGCAGGCTCAAATTGAGACCAAGCAATTAATTGAGTAAATTTATCAGCTAAAGTATTACCTTCAGCTAATGGACCAGAGAGATTTGAATGTGCCCTAATATGACACACAAAGCATGGTAACTTTCTTTGATGAATGTCATCTTGAATCTGCTGAAATAGTATTCCAACTGGAATATAACTAGTTCCAATGCAGGGTCCAGTCTCTAATACTTGAAGAACTCTAAAAATATAATGACTGCCAGTATACAAATTAAAATTTGAAAAAAGCTGGAATACCATAGCAACAGTTCATAGCTCAACAATTTGAACTAAAGCTAGATCCATTTGTACCACATATCCTTTACCATCAATGACATATGCTGATCTCCACTAAAAGAACCATCTGCAAAAATTAACATATAATCTTTTAAGGGATCTTTCATTACAATTTGAGAAAAAAATAAAGGAATGCACTTGTGCAAATCACAACAATCAATCATCTAGAAAATGATTATCAATTTGACCTTAAAATTGAACAAATGCAATTGCTCACTAATCATTACTTTGAAATACCCAATAAACCTATTGTCTAGTATAAAGAACATTGATCACACTAGGTTCTCTACCAAAATATTGCCTAGATTCTAGCCAAACAAGCTACTGCTTCAAAATAAGGATTTAATATCTTAATTGGTGAAACAGGAGATGTAGCCATAAAGAGGACAGTTTTCCCATAATACTTGTGTAGGAGTAAGTCTTGTGGCAAAATATATGCTTGCCAAGGTTGACCATAATTAATATAATGTACCTGCAGATGTCGTATTGCATATACAATCTGAGCCAGTACCTGTCTAGCTCCATCTGTAAGATGTCTAGGGGAACTGAGATCACCACTCCTCTTTAGAATCTCACTGAGGGTCTCAAGATCTCCCATAGACAATTTTAAATATGATCACAGCCATTGAATACTTCCCAATAATTTCTGAAAGTTATTTGAAGTTTGTAAGGTATCTTTCTTAATTTTCAATTTTTTGAGGCTTAATTTCTTTAGGATACAACATATGTCCCAAATACTGGAAAGGCAGCTGCCTCTGTACTTTCTCTAGAGCAATAACTAACCCTGAATGGGCAAGACTCTGCTGAAGCTGTCCCATATGTTGCAAGCAAAACTCCTTAAAAAAAGAAAACCAATCCTTTAAATCTAAAATAATCTAATCCATGCTGCGAAGGTCCCATTAACTGACAGGCAGCATTATCACTTTGATAGGTGCCTAGCTCAGGATGAATTAGCATTTTCACAGACTCTTGACTGAGTGGAGTGGTGGGCAACTCGCTGAGGGCCTGACATTGCCCTCCAGGTTGGGGCTGAGCAGGAGCTGTGCTCTTGATGGCTTGGCTGTTCCTCTGGGACCCCGAGACCAACAGTTGCCTCAGTAGTTCCCAGAGGCATCAGACTGCAGGCATCACCAGACCTCGTGCCCCATGCAGCAGCTGCAGGTTGAGTTGACTGGGAATATGGGTGGATGGAGTCACTCCTTCCCCCGAGTGCTGGAACAGTGAGGAGATAGTGTGGGGACTGCACCACCAGTGTGGAGGAGGAAGTGGGAAATTCAAAATATTTACAAACTCTAAGAATTTCAGTACCTGTTGCTGCTCTACTTGAGCTCCTATGGCCTTTAAAATATACCCCAGCAATTGTCCAGGCAGTTAACTACTATCTTTCTGCTCCATATTTACTAAATTTGTATACAAGTTTACTCCTGAGCGACTCACCACATCTTCACTTTTACTTTTTTTCCCAGGCGCTCACTTTTCACTTTCACTGTGATGTCGGTGCTGTGTGCATCACGCTAGTCACGCTATTCACGCTATTCATGCTATTCACGCTATTCACGCTATTCCTCCTTATCCAAGTCCCACACTCAAGGTGCCACTTCTGGGGGGTCCCACCTGATTTGTTCGTCCATAGTAGAAGAAAAGGTGAGGATTAAAAAAGAAATAGACTAGACAACAGATAAAATCAGGAGGCCATTCAGTGAATACTGTGATTCACCTCAAGTTTATTATTTCAAGTTCTTATACAGTCCAGTCCAAAAAGGGGGAAGGCAAAAGACCCTTAGAACCACTTCAACGTGCAGGAGTTCATCCCCAGGGTTTGTTGTCTAATGCCATCTGGCAGATAGATGTTACATACTATACCCCCTTAGGCAATCTTAACTATGTTCATGTGATAATAGATACCTGTTCCTCCTTTGTCTATGTCTTCGCCCTTTCTGGAAAGAAAGTTGTCAATGCTATCAAGGGCTTTAAGTCAGACATGGTAGTGATGGGGAGACCTTGGGCACTTAAGAGAGATAAGGGTCCTGCCTATGCCTCTCAACAATTCAATGACTTTCTGAGCTCTTGGAAGATTTCCCATACCACTGGCATAGCCTACAATCCACAGGGACAAGCCATTGTGGAGAGGACCAACAGAGCTCTTAAGGAGTTGTTGCCAGGACTATCTCACCGGAGCTAAAAGAGATCCTCATCTGGCCTTAAAAGAGGTCCTTTTCCATATGAACTTCCTCAGTTTTGATGGTAAGGAACTCAGCCCAACTTACAAGCACTGGGCATCCCTGCCAAGGAACACAACACTGCTCTTGGTGAGATGGAGAGATCCTATCTCCCTCCACTGGCAGCTGCCAGCCCCCCTGCTAACTCACGAGAGAGGGTATGTTTGTGTTTTTTCTCAGACTGTCACAACGCCAATATGGGTCCTGGTAAGAGATGTATGCCCAGTCACAGATCAGCCTGCTTCCACCAAGAAGGGAATAGCTCAGGATGGGTAACGTATATACTCCCCTTTCTGGTGCTCATTATCCCCTTAATAAATTGATTTATTAAGGGCAGAGGTTATGGCCTTTGAATCCTCATTTTTTTTCATATTAGTCACAGGAAAAATCCATCAAGAGCAAATCTCAATATTGAACATCTATGCTCCAAATACAAGGGCACCCTCATATGTAAAAGAAATCCTTCTAAAGCTTAAATCACACATTAAATCCCACACACTAATAGCAGGAGACTTCTACACTCCACTTTCACCACTGGACAGGTCAATCAGACAGAAGATTAACAGAGAAATAAGGAAACCAACAGATGTTAACTGTTAACTCAAATGGACGTAACAGACATCTATAGAATATTCCATCTAAACATAAAACAATATACCTTCTTCTCAGCACCTCATGAAATCTTCTGAAAAGTTGAGCACATACTAGGCAGCAAAGCGAACCTCAATAGACATAAAAAAAAATTGGAATAACCCTGTGTATCTTATCAGATCACCATGGCATAAAATTAGAATTCAACATGACACCAAATTCAGAAAGCCCACAAACACATGGAAATTAAACAATGCTCACCTGAATCATCAATAGGTCAAGGAAGAAATAAAGGAAGAAATTAAAGCTTTCCTAAAATTCAATGAAAATGACCACACAACATACCCAATTTTATAAGACACAATTAAAACAAGTATTAAGAGGAAAGTTCATATCACTAAATGCCTACATAAAGAAGCTGGAAAAATCCCACACTAGTGAGTTAACAGCACACCTGAAAACTCTAAATCAAAAAGAAGCAAACTTACCCAGGAAAAGTAGGTGCAGGAAATAATTAAATTGAGAGCTAAAATCAACAAAAAAAGAAACAAAGAAAACAATACAAAGAATCAATGAGACAAAGAGTTGGTTCTTTGAAAAAATTAACAAAATAGACAAACTTTTATCCAAACTAATTAAAAAGCAGAGAGAGAACATCCAAATTAACAAAAACAGAAATGAAAGGGGGCATATATCAACAGAGATGGAGGAAATCCAGAAAATCATCAGATCATATTCAAAAACTTCTACTCCACAAAATTGGAAAACTTAAAGGAAATGGACAATTTTCTGGATAAATATCATTTACCAAAATTAAATCAAGACCAGATAGGCTAATTAAACAGACCTATAACTGCTAAAGAAATAGAAACAGTCATCAAAAATATCCTAACCAAAAAAAAACCCAGGACCAGATGGCTTCAGCACAGAATTCTACAACCAAGGTTTGGCGAACATTGCTAAAGAGAGGCAGAAAGACTGTAAGGGCTAAGGACCAGGAAAGGTGCTGTGAGACTGGGTCTCCTAGCAATGGCAGGCAAACTTCCGCCAGGACCCTTCAACAACATGGCTGCTTAAACAAGACCTGATCAAGGAGAGCACAGACAGCTGCGATGACGTGGGAGGGGGAG